AAGAGTTGTATCACCAATTTCATGTTTCTGATCCACCTCAGATTTCCACCTTCACATAACAAAATCGTGTAATCTACAAATTGTAAGTGGGTGAGGGGGTCTCATCCCTTCCTAGTCTCCACCCTCTTAGAAAATCCCTTGAATCCACTCTATGAATTAATCTCCCCAAAACATTTGCAATCAATGTAAATAAGAAGGGAGAGAGTGGATCCCTTTGTTTTATTCCCCTCATGGCTGGAAGAAATCTGCCATTGTCCCATTTACCAACACAGAGTAATGACAATTCCAAACACAACATATATCAAGGCGACTAGGCGAGGCTAGGCGACCATGGGGCGCCCAAGCACCTAGGTGGGCGCCTAGGCGACAACTAGGCAATGGAATCTATAAATATAAAATCTATAGATTTCAACCATATAATCATATTCGTATATATATTAATGATAGGTTCGGCTATTAAAAACTAAAGTGATAAGTGAGAACAATGACTGAATCAGTGAAGGGAGGAGAGGAGTATAGGGCAGAGCCCCTGTTTTTTCAAAAAAAAAAAAAGAAAAGCAAAAAAATGGACTCATGGGGCGAACGATTGACGACTGAGAATGACTACTAACAAYTGAGAACAATCATGGACTCATGGGGCGGAAGAAGAAGAAGAATATAGGGGCGGAGCCCCTGTTTTTTCGAAAAAAAATGAAAAAAAAAGTTTGAGATAAGAAGAGAGAACTCAGGACTGATTCGATTGAAATTTGGAAAAGAGAAAAAAGAAGAAGATTGATGAGGTGTGTTGAGGCTTGAAGTCTTCAGTTCTGCTCCCTCTCCAATCAAACCAAAAAAACCCTTATGACATAAAGAAAAAAGGTTGTATACTTGGTCTTAATACTAAAATGACATCATGTAACCAGATTTATTTTAAAAGAATAAAACATCCAATAAAAATATCAATAAATYAAAAAAATATATATATTTTTTAGATGAATGTAGGTGCCCGCTTAAGTCTCTGGGCGGTGGCGCCTAATATGCAAAACTTGTGGCATTTGGGCCAAGCGACCATGAAAAACCACCTAGTCACCTTGACAACTATGACCCCATTTACACCATATTTCCCCGAACCCAAAATTAACCATAACTTTCTTYAGGAAAGACCAATCAACCAAGTCATAAGCCTTTTCCAGGTCCAGCTTGCAAACCACAACCTTTGTTCTAACCTTTTTGAAATTCTTCATGCTCCCATTGGCAATTAAAATTGGATCAATTATTTGTCTTCCACTCACAAAAGCTCTTTGATTTGGTGCAATGATGGATGGGAGGATTTGCTTTAACCTCAATGACAACTCCTTTGCAATTATCTTATACAAACTATTTACCAAACTAATCAGTCTGAAGTCCTTTGGTTGGAGGAATCTTTCTTCTTTGGATCAATGCAAGGAAGTTGGAATTCAATCCAGGATTAATTATTCCTCTCCTATGAAATTCCTCAAACACTAGCATTAKATCTCTTTCCAAGATATCCCAACAATCTTGGTAAAACATCCGAGCCTGGAGCTTTTGTTAACCTCCGTTCTATCCTTTGCCTATTTGTTGCCCCTAACTCTAGTCATTCCAATCCTTCTAACCCCCCCCCCCCCTTTAAAGGCCTTCTAAAGATGGACTTAAAGTGTTCTACAAAGGCCCCTGCTATCTCATCCTATTGTGTCAGAATAGATCCTTCAACTTCTAGTCTAGAGATAAAGTTTCTTCTCCCATTTGCCACAAAATGAAAAAAAAAATCTAGTGTTTCTATCTCCCTCCATTAACCACTTGCACTGAGATTTCTATCCTTTTTTTTATCAATAACAGATTTATTCAATTCATTGAAATATCAAACTATTTACAGCAAGGAAGACAAAAACTCTTATCTTCCAAGTACAACTTAAACCCCCCAAAGAGAGAAACAAGGAAACAAAAGAAACAATTAAGTTACAGCTTAGCCCAAAACATTGCTTCCCTTTCTATCCCTTGTTTAGCTAATCCATCAGCCAAAGAGTTAGCTGATCTCTTAACCCAACGCATCCTGATTTCCATCTCCCGCACCAGCCACCTGAATTTCCTCTTTTCATTTCTGTAATTCCATAAACCGCAGTTGTCTTTAATCAGCCACCCTATCACCACCTCCGAGTCCCCTTCATTTATGAGTTTCCTGACATTCAACTCCTTGGCTTTCTGAACTCCTTCCATAACTGCCAAGATCTCATCTCTGAGGGAATCCCACACCAATTGGGCCTGAGAACAGGGCAGAAATGACCCCGTTCTCATCCCTAAAAACACCTCCAATCCCTGATTGTCCCAAGTTCCCCCTACAACTCCCATCAAAATTTAACTTTAAGAAGCCAGCAGGGGGGAGTCCAAGACACCCTTATTACTGGTTTGATCTGAGTGCAGTTTGCAATCTCACCCCACTTTCTCAGCATGTCTTCCACTGTGTAGTCTGTAAATAGCTCTAGTGATTTCAGCCATTGCACCGAGATTTCTATCTCCAACTTATTTCCTCCTTGTGTGGCCAATCCTCCAATTGTCTTCTCAAACACCCTCTCTATTCCTCGTCTCCCTCTTCAAATTCTCCCCTTTCTTCTTTCAAATCTAGAATCTCAATTTGATCYATCGATACTCTTTTTCTTTCTTATAATCTACCAAACTCCAATTGGTTCCACTCTCTAATCTTTGCTTTCAGAAATTGGAGTTTCTTGTGAAACCACATACCTTCCATTCCACTAAGGGATTACACTCTTCCCACCACTCTCTTACTTTCTTGGTAAACCTAGGATGAAGTAGCTACATATTTTCAATCCTAAAAAGGGCAAGTTCTCCACTCCTTTCCTCCTTAAAAATCACTATGGGCCAATGGTCTGAAGTCGATCTAGGAAGTTCTCTAGAAGTTAAGCTCCCCCAGTGTTTTTCCCAATTTGTTGAAAATAGAAGCCTATCCAGCTTAGAACAGATGGGATTCGATTGGAGATTGGACCAAGTGAATGTCTTGTGAGCTAATGGTATCTCTTTGAGCTCAAAAGCATCCACAAACAGATTAAACTTCCAATGCTAGTTGTTGCCCTCTGATTATGATTATTAGTTTCCTCTGTAAACCTAACCACATTGAAGTCCCCACTCACACACTAAGGCCCTTCCCATAGGCCCTTAACATTCACCCAGTTCCCATAGACCCTTGACATCACCCAATCCCTCTCTCTCTCTGTAATCATTTGGTCCATATACATTCGCTAGCACACATAACCATCCTCTAACCACTTAAATTTCAAGGATATTGAGCATTTCCCAATCAAATCATCAAATCCTTTGAGCACATCCCTCTTCCACATTGTTACTATCCCTCCTTAGGTTCCCCAAGATGGAGGAGCCGCCCAATTGATCCCCCTTGCTATCCAAACACTCTTAGCCCATCTGTTGTCAAACTCAATTCTTTTTTACTCTTGGATTAGCACTATGTCTGGGTCAAACCTCTTGATCACCTTTTTAATTGTTGCTCTTTTCCTTGCACTTCTTAAATCTTTCACATTCCAGCTAAGAATCTTCATATTCACATTCTTATCTCTCTTAGAAGGCTTGTACTCTCCCTCATGCTCAAAGTGTCCTTCGAAATCCATGGAAAATCAAAATCCAATGCATTGTCCAACCCAGACACTTCACTTAGGAGATTCCATGAAACAATGCTTCCTGGGCCCAAATTTATCATGCAGTTGTTTGCCCTATGGAAAGTCAATAAATGACAAGCAAAAATCTGGATTACCATTGTAAGTTTATGACACATAGTTAATATGCATGTCCAACATGGACACTAAATTTAGGGCATGCAATGCAGCTTCCTAGGCCCAAATTTACTGCGCAGCTGTTTGCCTATGGAAAGTCAAGAATCGACAAATCAAAATCCAGATTGTTAGTGTAAGCTTATGATGTATAATTAATGATCAATTAGGTTATGGATGAAGCATATCTTGCTTTTCCCCTTCTTCTCTCTTGTATTAGAGTGACTCCTAATAAGAACGAGCATAATCTGGCAATCAAAAGGGGAAGAGTCTCTCTTAACACCAATTTGCAAAATAAAATTATCTTTCATTAATTTGGAAGAAAAGGAGTAAAAGGCTATTTATAAGCAAGTTTAAGATTTTTCTTAAAGAGGAAGAAAACCCTCTCTTGCAAAGAAAATTTCATAAAAAGAAATATTACAAAATATCTCACTACTTCAMTAGCACATTATTTAGAAAATGCTAGAATGGACCCTTTGGRCCATGGGTTGAACCACGGGGATGAGTCTATTGCCTTAGGCAACACATATAGATCTTTGTATCTAAAGGGTCAAAGGACATTAAAGGGGTTTTGCAAGTGTATGGGCCTAAGGCCAATGGAGCCTGGCCCACCATGAAGTAGAGCAAGGAAAAAAAAGAGAGGCTTTTTTCCTTCTTTTTATTTGCTGGTGGATGAGAAAAACGAGAACTTACACTTTTAAGTCTTTCAATTTGTTCACCTAAGACGCAAGGTACCAAGGAAGTCTGAAAGCCTGCAAAACCATGGTGGGAGTTAGAAGAAAAGAACATGGAACAGCAAAAGTTTCTGCTAGTCATCATGTAGAACAAACCTAATATCTTTTGCTATGACTGTGTCTCCATCTTCAGACCCAAGATGGCGCAAAACCACTTCTTCTAAACGTCCATCGCGATAAGCATGCTACAAACAAAACATTCATGTAATGAAACATCAATGACCTTCTAACCCCTATACAAACTATCCAATATATATGAAAAAGAACAGCTAGCACTTCATCAAAATATAAATTCATTTGGAACAATATATCACTGGAGCTCTACATCAATGCATCTGTAATTTCATTAGATCTAGGACTGCAGTGTTAAATTTTATAAGCGGCATGTTGTTCCTACTGCATTGATTTTATAATATGATTCAGGAGCATACCGTCCAAAATACTAAATCATATGGTCCTGCTCTCAGCACCTGTAAGAAGTGATCTTTTGCAAGTTGATAGGGCTAGGAGGGATTGGGGCAGACCAAAAGGGACATGGGTTGTGAAGTAAAAAGAAATGCTTTAAGCGCTTCATAAATTAACAATGGATATGTCACTGAACAGAACAGAATGGTGAAACAGGATTCATGTAGCCAACTCCAAATAATTGGGACAAGACTTAGATGATGATGGCAAGATTCTGCTCTCAGCCCACAACTTTCTAGCCTAAGCCCAAATCCATGTTAATATTCAGATTCAAATTTTATCAATAACATATAATATTCTAACCATTTTTAGTTTAATTTATTTATGTATTTTTTTGATAGGAGAATAAAAGTGTTCAATTGAATTAATTTGGAACTAGGTGCATCTGATATTATCCGGTCCTTTTGCATCCCTAGTCCATAACAGGTCCAAGCATAAGTTACTCTAAGGTAGTGGAGGAGTGGTTAAATAATCCGGAAAACGTTGTGTGGGGTTACAAGAATGAGCTAAAGAAATACAAATGGTTGACAAGGAATATGACTGTTACTGTACAGTGGGTGAGGAGATCAGATAATGCCTTCACTGATAGCTTGGCAAAACAGGGCACAACTTGGGAAACACTATTTTGGGCTGAGCTGTAACTGTGTTTTAGTACACATGTACATTTTGCTTTAGATTCTGTGTTTCAAGATTTTATGTGCTTCATGTTTGGAGAGGTGGCATCTTGCGCCTCCCAAGGGACTGATTATGTAATTTCTGTCTGATTTAATGGAAACATGATATTTTATCTATGAAAAAAAAACAGGGGTCCAAGCATAAGTTCATATCCAAGTCTAGATATTGGTCCTGACCCATTTGTCAACACATGTTCCTTGAAACTAGATATGAATAATTAAGATGGAGAGACAATACTATTTGGTGGTAGTTCTTTTGGAATGTGTATTTGGAGTTTTCCAAAGCATGGTTCTAAAAAACGACCCGGAAACGGAATCGTTCTGGCACCGGTTTCCAGGTCGATGGTTCGAATGGATGGCCCATTCTGACAAAAACCGTTGAACGGGTCGACAGTTCGACCGCCCGGGTCAATGGATCGTTGACCGATTCAACATTTTTTGGCCATGGACTAGGTTTGTGGTAAAACGGACTGGAGGGTTCCTAGGCCGAACGGTCCGACTGTCCGGGTCAGCGATGGTTCAAAAACCATGTTCCAAAGTACCTTTTTATTGGAAACGGTAGCTTTCATTCATAAAAAAATGATTATTAAAGTATAACTGTCAACCACACAAGAAGAGGGTGTTGATCCCTCAAAGTATCTGAGAATTACAAAATGGCCCAAAACAATTCCTCCCTAGTAGTCCCTTGCTTTGCTAGAGTATCAGCTAGTCCATTTGCTGACCTTCTAGCCCACCTGAAGTTCACTCCAATCTCCCTTGCTAGGCATTTGATTTCCCTCACAAACTGTCTGTGGGTCCAGGTCCAGATCCCTAGGCTATTTGTTTGCATCCACCCTATTACCAACTTAGAATCCCCCTCCACCTCAATTTTTTGGAGACCCATCTGCTTAGCCAATTTCAAACCTTGAAGAAGAGCCATCATCTCCGCTCATGGTGAGCCACTGACTCCTCCTATCGGTCCTGAAAACAGAACCATCGCTCTCCCTTCTCCATCTCTTAACACTCCCTCAATACCTAAGGGCCTAGGTTGCCTACAGAACTTCCTTTAAAATTCAATTTCACCCTATGTTGTGCTAATGGGTTCCAACTTTCCTGATTAACATGCTAATAAGGATGAAGAATGTGCTACTACACTCAAATGTACAATCTTAATGGTTATGCATTCAAAAACTTCTTCAGATTTTTCTTGCCCTTGAAAGTTTCTGTTATTTCTTTCTGCCCAAATCGACCACAAAATGGCTGCTGTTGAGGCTCTCCATATTAATCTTTCCCTCTTCTTTAGTTGTCTAAAAAAGTTCAGATCAAAAAGACCCACCACATCTGAGGGAAGAGTCCACCTGCTCTTTTCCTAAGAAGTACTTGGACTGGCCCGGCACGGCCTGGCACGATGGTCTGCGGGCCCACGGCCCGGCCCAATTTACACCTTAGTCTCAATCATGTGTGAAGATATGATGTTGTATTTTATCTTTCGCCACACTCCACCGGTCACCATAAACTCACTTTCACATCCAGAACAAACCAAATACCAGAACTTTCCTAAACGATAGCTATCAACAGCACCACCAACACCATTGAACACCGATCATCAAAAATCAACCAAACATGAGTTGGCAGCAATTATACCACTCTATGTTGCCATGATCCTCACCTACRGTTCAGTTCGATGGTGGAAGATCTTTACCCCTGATCAGTGCTCCAGCATCAACATAAGTGAGTTGCCTCACTTCTCCACATAACCTTGGGTCTCCTCTCCTGCAGTCAGAAGACCTTATCTATATGCTGGAAAAGAAGTTGAAGACTTGAAGAGCACCAGCACATGTATCTCTTCATTTACATGCGTCAGCTACTGGATCCTTTGTTTCATTTACAAAAGCAGTGACTCACTGTGCTTGGTCCAACACACACAAGCTCTTGTTTTCTGAAATCAGATACTGATTTAGAGATCTTTCTTTCATTGTCTCTGAAACCAAGCAAAAATGCAGACCATGAGGGATTCCACTTCAAACATTGCCGACTCACCCAGGTCTGGGATGGACAAGACCAGAGAGCAGGTTCTTATCTTTTCTATTTTGCTCTATGTCTGATAGGAATTTTGAACTTTTTTTTTGCTTTCTATGTACCTTTGCATCGTTTTGGCTTTATACTGTGGGAGTGTAACAGTAAATCATAAATCTCTTGACAGATAGGCAGGATCATTGTTTTAAAAGCGCAAGGCGCAAGGCGAGGTGCG